GGGTGATGGAAAGCGGGAGAATGGGGCGGGGTGATGGAAAGCGGGAGAATGGAGCGGGGTGATGGAAAGCGGGAGAATGGGGCGGCGTGATGGAAGGAGGGAGAATGGGTTAGGGTGATGGAAAGCGGGAGAATGGGGCGGGGTGATGAAAGGAGGGAGAATGGGGACGGGGTGATGGAAGGAGGGAAAATGGGGCGGGGTGATGGAAAGCGGGAAAATGGGGCGGGGTGATGGAAAGCGGGAGAATGGGGCGGGGTGATGGAAAGCGGGAGAATGGGGTGGGGTGATGGAAAGCGGGAGAATGGGGCGGGGTGATGGAAAGCGGGAGAATGGGGCGGGGTGATGGAAAGCGGGAGAATGGGGCGGGGTGATGTTAGGAGGGAGAATGGGGCGGGGTGATGGAAAGTGGGAGAATGGTGCGGGGTGATGGAAAGCGGGAGAATGGGGCGGGGTGATGGAAAGCGGGAGAATGGTGCGGGGTGATGTAAAGCGGGAGAACGGGGCAGGGTGATGGAAAGCGGGAGAATGGGGCGGGGTGATGGAAAGCGGGAGAATGGTGCGGGGTGATGGAAAGCGGGAGAATGGGGCGGGGTGATGGAAAGCGGGAGAATGGGGCGGGGTGATGGAAAGCGGGAGAATTGGGCGGGGTGATGGAAAGCGGGAGAATGGGGTGGGGTGATGGAAAGCGGGAGAATGGGGCGGGGTGATGGAAAGCGGGAGAATGGAGCGGGGTGATGGAAAGCGGGAGAATGGGGCGGGGTGATGGAAGGAGGGAGACTGGGGCGGGTTGATGGAAAGCGGGAGAATGGGGCGGGGTGATAGAAAGCGGGAGAATGGGGCGGGGTGATGGAAAGCGGGAGAATGGGGCGGGGTGATGGAAAGAGGGAGAATGGGGCGGGGTGATGGAAAGCGGGAGAATGGGGCAGGGTGATGGAAGGAGGGAGAATGGGGCGGGGTGATGGAAAGCGGGAGAATGGGGCGGGGTGATGGAAAGCGGGAGAATGGGGCGGGGTGATGGAAAGCGGGAGAATGGGGCGGGGCGATGGAAAGCTGGAGAATGGGGCTGGGTGATGGAAAGCGGGAGAATGGGGTGGGGTGATGGAAAACGGGAGAATGGGGCGGGTGATGGAAAGCGGGAAAATGGGGTGGGGTGATGGAAAGCGGGAGAATGGGGCGGGGTGATGGAAAGCGGGAGAATGGGGCGGGGTGATGGAGGGAGGGAGAATGGGGTGGGGTGATGGAAAGCGGGAGAATGGGGCGGGGTGATGGAAAACGGGAGAATGGTGCGGGGTGATGGAAAGCGGGAGAACGGGGCAGGGTGATGGAAAGCGGGTGAATGGGGCGGGGTGATGGAAAGCGAGAGAATGGGGCGGGGTGATGGAAAACGGGAGAAAGGGGCGGGTGATGGAAAGCGGGAGAATGTGGCGGGGTGATGGAAAGCGGGAGAATGGGGCGGGGTGATGGAAAGCGGGAGAATGGAGCGGGGTGATGGAAAGCGGGAGAATGGGGCGGGGTGATGGAAGGAGGGAGACTGGGGCGGGTTGATGGAAAGCGGGAGAATGGGGTCGGGTGATGGAAAGCGGGAGAATGGGGCGGGGTGATGGAAAGCGGGAGAATGGGGTGGGGTGATGGAAAGCGGGAGAATGGGGCGGGGTGATGGAAGGCGGGAGAATGGGGTGGGGTGATGGAAAGCGGGAGAATGGGGCGGGTGATGGAAGGAGGGAGAATGCGGTGGGGTGATGGAAGGAAGGAGAATGGGGCTGGGTGATGGAAAGCGGGAGAATGGGGCGGGGTGATGGAAAGCGGGAGAATGGGGCGGGGTGATGGAAAGCGGGAGAATGGGGCGGGGTGATGGAAAGCGGGAGAACGGGTCGGGGTGATAGAAAGCGGGAGAATGGGGCGGGGTTATGGAAAGCGGGAGAAGGGGACGGGGTGATGGAAAGCGGGAGAATGGGGCGGGGTGATGGAAGGAGGGAGAATGGGGCGGGGTGATGGAAAGCGGGAGAATGGGGCGGGGTGATAGAAAGCGGGAGAATGGGGCGGGGTGATGGAAAGCGGGAGAATGGGGCGGGGTGATGGAAAGAGGGAGAATGGGGCGGGGTGATGGAAAGCGGGAGAATGGGGCAGGGTGATGGAAGGAGGGAGAATGGGGCGGGGTGATGGAAAGCGGGAGAATGGGGCGGGGTGATGGAAAGCGGGAGAATGGGGCGGGGTGATGGAAAGCGGGAGAATGGGGCGGGGCGATGGAAAGCTGGAGAATGGGGCTGGGTGATGGAAAGCGGGAGAATGGGACGGGGTGATGGAAGGAGGAAGAATGGGGCGGGGTGATGGAAGGAGGGAGAATAGGGCGGGGTGATGGAAAGCGGGAGAATGGGGCGGGGTGATGGAAAGCGGGAGAATGGGGCGGGGGGATGGAAAGCGGGAGAATGGGGTGGGGTGCTGGAAAGAAGGAGAATGGGGCGGGGTGATGGAAAGCGGGAGAATCGGGCGGGGTGATGGAAATCGGGAGAATGGGCCGGGGAGATGGAATGCGGGAGAACGGGACGGGGTGATGGAAGGAGGGAGAATGGGGCAGGGTGATGGAAGGAGGGAGAATGGGGCGGGGTGATGGAAAGCGGGAGAATGTTGCGGGGGGATGGAAAGCGGGAGAATGGGGCGGGGTGATGGAAAGCGGAAGAATGGGGCGGGGTGATGGAAGGAGGGAGAATGGGGCGGGATGATGGAAGGAGGAAGAATGGGGCGGGGTGATGGAAAGCGGGAGAATGGGGCGGGCTGATGGAAAGCGGGAGAATGGGGCGGGGTGATGGAAAGCGGGCGAATGGGGCGGGGTGATGGAAAGCGGGAGAATGGGGCGGGGTGATGGAAAGCGGGAGAATGGGGCGAGGTGATGGAAGGAAGGAGAAAGGGGCGGGGTGATGGAAGGAGGGAGAATGGGGCGGGCTGATGGAAAGCAGAAGAATGGGGCGGGGTGATGGAAAGCGGGAGAATGGGGCGGGGTGATGGAAAGCGGGAGAATGGGGCGGGGTGATGGAAAGCGGGAGAATGGGGCGGGGTGATGGAAAGCGGGAGAATGGGGCGGGGTGAAGGAAAGCGGGAGAATGGGGCGGGGTGAAGAAAAGCGGGAGAATGGAGGGGGTGATGGAAGGCGGGAGAATGGGGCGTGATGATGGAAGGAGGAAGAATGGGGCGGGGTGATGGAAAGCGGGAGAATGGGGCGGGCTGATGGAAAGCGGGAGAATGGGGCGGGGTGATGGAAAGCGGGCGAATGGGGCGGGGTGATGGAAAGCGGGAGAATGGGGCGGGGTGATGGAAAGCGGGAGAATGGGGCGAGGTGATGGAAGGAAGGAGAAAGGGGCGGGGTGATGGAAGGAGGGAGAATGGGGCGGGCTGATGGAAAGCAGAAGAATGGGGCGGGGTGATGGAAAGCGGGAGAATGGGGCGGGGTGATGGAAAGCGGGAGAATGGGGCGGGGTGATGGAAAGCGGGAGAATGGGGCGGGGTGATGGAAAGCGGGAGAATGGGGCGGGGTGAAGAAAAGCGGGAGAATGGAGGGGGTGATGGAAGGCGGGAGAATGGGGCGTGATGATGGAAGGAGGGAGAACGGGGCGTGATGATGGAAGGAGGGAGAACGGGGCGGGGTGATGGAAAGCGGGAGAATGGGGCAGGGTGATGGAAAGCGGGAGAATGGGGCGGGGTGATGGAAAGCAGGAGAATGGGGCGGGGTGATGGAAAGCGGGAGAATGGGGCGGGGTGATGGAAAGCGGGAGAATGGGGCGGGGTGATGGAAAGCGGGAGAATGGGGCAGGGTGATGGAAAGCGGGAGAATGGGGCGGGGTGATGGAAAGCGGGAGAATGGGGCGGGGTGATGGAAAGCGGGAGAATGGGGCGAGGTGATGGAAGGAGGAAGAATGGGTCGGGGTGATGGAAGGAGGGAGAATGGGGCGGGGTGATGGAAAGCAGGAGAATGGGGCGGGGTGATGGAAAGCGGGAGAATGGGGCTGGGTGATGGAAAGCGGGAGAATGGGGCGGGGTGATGGAAAGCGGAAGAATGGGGCGGGGTAATGGAAAGCGGAAGAATGGGGCGGGGTGATGGAAAGCGAGAGAATGGAGCGGGGTGATGGAAAGCGGAAGAATGGGGCGGGGTGATGGAAAGCGAGAGAATGGAGCGGGGTGATGGAAAGCGGGAGAATGGGGCGGGGTAATGGAAAGCGGGAGAATGGGGCGGGGTGATGGAAGGAGGGAGAATGGGGCGGGGTGATGGAAAGCGGGAGAGTGGGGCGGGTTGATGGAAAGCGGGAGAACGGGGCGGGGTGATGGAAAGCAGGAGAAGGGGGCGGGGTGATGGAAAGCGGGAGAATGGGGTGGGGTGATGGAAAGCGGGAGAATCAGGCGGGGTGATGGAAAGCGGGAGAATGGGGCGGGGTGATGGAAAGCGGGAGAATGGGGCGGGGTGATGGAAAGCGGGAGAATGGGGCAGGGTGATGGAAAGCGGGAGAATGGGGCGGGATGATGGAAAGCGGGAGAATGGGGCGGGATGATGGAAAACGGGAGAATGGGGCGGGGTGATGAAAAGCGGGAGAATGGGGCGGGGTGATGGAAAGCGGGAGAATGAGGCGGGGTGATGGAAAGCGAGAGAATGGGGCGGGGTGATGGAAAGCGGGCGAATGGGGCGAGGTGATGGAAGGAGGAAGAATGGGTCGGGGTGATGGAAGGAGGGAAAATGGGGCGGGGTGATGGAAAGCAGGAGAATGGGGCGGGGTGATGGAAAGCGGGAGAATGGGGCTGGGTGATGGAAAGCGGGAGAATGGGGCGGGGTGATGGAAGGAGGGAGAATGGGGCGGGGTGATGGAAAGCGGGAGAATGGGGCGGGGTGATGGAAAGCGAGAGAATGGGGCGGGGTGATGGAAAGCGGGAGAATAGGGCGGGGTGATGGAAAGCGGGAGAATGGGGCGGGGTGATGGAAGGAGGGAGAATGGGGCGGGGTGATGGAAAGCGGGATAATGGGGCGGGGTGATGGAAAGCGGGAGAATGGGGCAGGGTGATGGAAAGCGGGAGAATGGGGCGGGGTGATGGAAGGAGGGAGAATGGGGCGGGGTGATGGAAAGCGGGAGAATGGGGCGGGGTGATGGAAAGCGGGAGAATGGGGCGGGGTGATGGAAGGAGGGAGAATGGGGCGGGGTGATGGAAAGCGGGAGAATGGGGCTTTCCATCACCCCGCACCATTCTCCCGCTTTCCATCACCCCGCCCCATTCTCCCGCTTTCCATCACCCCGCCCCATTCTCCCACTTTCCATCCCCCCGCCCCATTCTCCCGCTTTCCATCACCCCGCCCCATTCTCCCGCTTTCCATCACCCCGCCCCATACTCCCTCCTTCCATCACCCCGCCCCATTCTCCCGCTTTCCATCACCCCGCCCCATTCTCCCTCCTTCCATCACCCCGCCCCATTCTCCCGCTTTCCATCACCCCGCCCCATTCTCCCGCATTCAATCACCCCGCCCCATTCTCCCTCCTTCCATCACCCCGCCCCATTCTCCCTCCTTCCATCACCCCGCCCCATTCTTCTGCTTTCCTTCACCCGGCCCCATTCTCCCGCTTTCCATCACCCTGCCCCATTCTCCTGCTTTCCATCACCACGCCCCATTCTCCCGCTTTCCATCACCCCGCCCCATTCTCCCGCTTTCCATCACCCCGCCCCATTCTCCCGCTTTCCATCACCCTGCCCCATTCTCCCGCTTTCCATCACCCCGCCCCATACTCCCTCCTTCCATCACCCCGCCCCATTCTCCCGCTTTCGATCACCCCGCCCCATTCTCCCTCCTTCCATCACCCCGCCCCATTCTCCCGCTTTCCATCACCCCGCCCCATTCTCCCGCTTTCCATCACCCCGCCCCATTCTCCCTCTTTCCATCACCCCGCCCCATTCTCCCGCTTTCCATCACCCCGCCCCATACTCCCTCCTTCCATCACCCCGTCCCATTCTCCCGCTTTCCATCACCCCGCCCCATTTTCCGCTTTCCATCACCCCGCCCTATTCTCCCGCTTTCCATCACCCCGCCCCATTCTCCCGCTTTCCATCACCCCGCCCCATTCTCCCGCTTTCCATCACCCCGCCCCATTCTCCCGCTTTCCATCACCCCGCCCCATTCTCCTGCTTTCTGTCACCCCCCCCCATTCTCCCGCTCTCTGTCACTCCGCCCGATTCTCCCTCCTTCCATCACTCCGCCCCATCCTCCCTCCTTCCATCACCCCGCCCCATCCTCCCTCCTTCCATCACCCCGCCCCATTCACCCGCTTTCCATCACCCCGCCCCATTCACCCGCTTTCCATCACCCCGCCCCATTCTCCCGCTTTCCATAACCCCGCCCCATTCTCCCGCTTTCCATCACCCCGCCCCATTCTCCCGCTTTCCATCACCCCGCCCCATTCTCCCGCTTTCAATCACCCCGCCCCATTCTCCCTCCTTCCATCACCCCGCCCCATTCTCCCGCTTTCCGTCGCCCCGCCCCATTCTCCCGCTTTCAATCACCCGGCCTCATTCTCCCGCTTTCCATCACCCGGCCTCATTCTCCCGCTTTCCATCACCCCGCCCCATTCTCCCGGTTTCCATCACCCCGCCCCATTCTCCCGCATTCAATCACCCCGCCCCATTCTCCTTCCTTCCATCACCCCGCCCCATTCTCCCTCCTTCCATCACCCCGCCCCATTCTCCCTCCTTCCATCTCCCCGCCCCATTCTCCTGCTTTCCTTCACCCCACCCTATTCTCCTCCTTTCCATCACCCCGCCCCATTCTCCCTCTTTCCATCACCCCGCCCCATTCTCCCGCTTTCCATCACCCCGCCCCATTCTCCCTCCTTCCATCACCCCGTCCCATTCTCCCGCTTTCCATCACCCCGCCCCATTCTTCCGCTTTCCATCACCCCGCCCCATTCTCCCGCTTTCCATCACCCCGCCCCATTCTCCCACTTTCCATCACCCCGCCCCATTCTCCCGCTTTCCATCACCCCGCCCCATTCTCATGCTTTCCATCACCCCGCCCCATTCTTCCGCTTTCCATCACCCCGCCCCATTCTCCCGCTTTCCATCACCCCGCCCCATTCTCCCTCCTTCCATCACCCCGCCCCATTCTCCCGCTTTCCATCACCCCGCCCCATTCTCCCGCTTTCCATCACCCCGCCCCATTCTCCCTCCTTCCATCACCCCGCCCCATTCTCCCGCTTTCCATCACCCCGCCCCATTCTCCTGCTTTCTATCACCCCGCCCCATTCTCCCTCCTTCCATCACCCGGCCCCATTCTCCCTCCTTCCATCACCCCGCCCCATTCTCCCGCTTTCCATCACCCCGCCCCATTCTCCCGCTTCCCATCACCCCGCCCCTTCTCCTATTACCAAGCCAGCAAGGGCGTGGGAGGGTTGCAAGCATCATCGGCCATCGGCGCTCGCGAATGAATAGCGCCCGCTGCACTCCCTGCACATGTTCGGCTCCTTCCGTGTTTTGGGGGTGGAAGCGCTCGTTCCGAGCAATTTTCTTGCGCCGGGTCACGTGGCTGCGCTTGTCTGGTCCTATTACCAAGCCGGCAAGGGTGTGGAAGGGCTGCAAGCATCATCGGTCATCAGCGCTCGCGAATGAAGAGCGCCTGCTGCACTTCCTGCACAAGTGTGCCTCCTTCCGCGTTTTGGGGGTGGAAGCGCTTGTTCCGAGAGTTTTTCTTCCGCCGGGTCACGTGGCTGCACTTGTCTCGTCCTTTTACCAAGCCAGCAAGGGTAAGGAAGTGCTGCAAGCATCATCGGTCATCGGCGCTCGCGAATGAAGAGCGCCCGCTGCACTTCCTGCACATGTGCGGCTCCTTCCGCATTTTGGGGGTGGAAGCGCTTGTTCCGAGAGTTTTTGTTCCGCCGGGTCACGTGGCTGCGCTTGTCTGGTCCTATTACCAAGCCAGCAAGGGCGTGGGAGGGTTGCAAGCATCATCAGTTATGGGCGCTCGCGAATGAAGAGCGCCCGCTGCACTTCCTTCACATGTTCGGCTCCTTCCGTGTTTTGGGGGTGGAAGCGCTCGTTCCGAGCGTTTTGCTTCCGCCGGGTCACGTGGCTGCGCTTCTGGTCCTATTACCAAGCCAGCAAGGGCGTGGAAGAGCTGCAAGCATCATCGGCCATCGGCGCTCGCGAATGAAGAGCGCCCGCTGCACTTCCTGCACAAGTGCGGCTCCTTCCGCGTTTTGGTTGTGGAAGCGCTCGTTCCGAGGGTTTTTCTTCCGCCGGGTCACGGGGCTGTGCTTGTCTGGTCCTATTACCAAGCCAGCAAGGGCGTGGGAGGGTTGCAAGCATCATCGGTCATCGGCGCTCGCGAATGAAGAGCGCCCGCTGCACTTCCTGCACATGTGCAGCTCCTTCCGCGTTTTGGGGGTGGAAGCGCTTGTTCCGAGCGGTTTTCTTCCGCCGGGTCACGTGGCTGCGCTTGTCTGGTCGTATTACCAAGCCAGCAAGGGCGTCGGAGGGTCGCAAGCATCATCTGTCATCGGCGCTTGCGAATGAAGAGCGCCCGCTGCACTTTCTGCACATGTGCGGCTCCTTCCGCGTTTTGGGGGTGGAAGCGCTCGTTCCGAGCGGTTTTCTTCCGCCGGGTCACGTGGCTGTGCTTGTCTGGTCCGATTACCAAGCCAGCAAGGGCGTGGGAGGGTTGCAGTCATAAACGGTCATCGGCGCTCGCGAATGAAGAGCGCCCGCTGCACTTCCTTCACATGTTCGGCTCCTTCCGTGTTTTGGGGGTGGAAGCGCTCGTTCTGAGCGTTTTGCTTCCGCCGGGTCACGTGGCTACGCTTCTGGTCCTATTACCAAGCCAGAAAGGGCGTGGAAGAGCTGCAAGCATCATCGGCCATCGGCGCTCGCGAATGAAGAGCGCCCGCTGCACTTCCTGCACAAGTGCGGCTCCTTCCGCGTTTTGGTGGTGGAAGCGCTCGTTCCGAGGGTTTTTCTTCCGCAGGGTCACGGGGCTGCGCTTGTCTGGTCCTATTACCAAGCCAGTAAGGGCGTGGGAGGGTTGCAAGCATCATCGGTCATCGGCGCTCGCGAATGAAGAGCGCCCGCTACACTTCCTGCACATGTGCGGCTCCTTCCGCGTTTTGGGGGTGGAAGAGCTTGTTCTGAGCGGTTTTCTTCCGCCGGGTCACGTGGCTGCGCTTGTCTGGTCCTATTACCAAGCCAGCAAGGGCGTGGGAGGGTTGCAAGCATCATCGGTCATCGGCGCTCGCGAATGAAGAGGGCCCGCTGCACTTCCTGCACATGTGCGGTTCCTTCCGCGTTTTGGGGGTGGAAGCGCTCGTTACGAGCGGTTTTCTTTCGCCAGGTCACGGGGCTGCGCTTGTCCGGTCCTATTACCAAGCTAGCAAGGGCGTGGGAGGGTTGCAATCATCATCGGTCATCGGCGCTCGCGAATGAAGAGCGCCCGCAGCACTTCGGCGTTTTGGGGGTGGAAGCGTTCATTCCGAGCGGTTTTTCTTCCGCCGGGTCACGTGGCTGCGCTTCTCTGGTCCTATTACCAAGCCAGAAGGGGGCGTGGGAGGGTTGCAAGCATCATCGGTCATCGGCGCTCGCGAATGAAGAGCGCCCGCTGCACATCCTGCACATGTGCCGCTCCTTCCTTGTTTTGGGGGTGGAAGCTCTCGTTCCGAGCGTTTTTCTTCCGCCGGGTCACGTGGCTGCGCTTGTCTGGTCCTATTACCAAGCCAGCAAGGGCGTGGGAGGGTTGCAAGCATCATCGGTCATCAGCGCTCGCGAATGAAGAGCGCCCGCTGCACTTCCTGCACATGTGCGGCTCCTTCCGTGTGTTGGGGGTGGAAGCGCTCGTTCCGATCGTTTTTCTTCCGCCGGGTCAGGTGGCTGCACTTGTCTTGTCGTATTACCAAGCCAGCAAGGGCGTGGGAGGGTCGCAAGCATTATCGGTCATCGGCGCTCGCGAATGAAGAGCGCCCGCTGCACTTCCTGCACAAGTGCGGCTCCTTCCGCGTTTAGGGGGTGGAAGCGCTCGTTCCGAGCGGTTTTCTTCCGCCGGGTTACGTGGCTGCGCTTGTCTGGTCCTATTACCAAGCTAGCAAGGGCGTGGGAGGGTTGCAAGCATCATCGGTCATCGGCGCTCGCGAATGAAGAGCGCCCGCTGCACTACCTGCATAAGTGCAGCTCCTTTCGCGTTTTGGGGGTGGAAGCGCTCGTTCCGAGCGTTATTCTTCCGCCGGGTCACGTGGCTGAGCTTGTCTGGTCCTATTACCAAGCCAGCAAGGGCGTGGGAGTGTTGCAAGCATCATCGGTCATCGGCGCTCGCGAATGAAGAGCGCCCGCTGCACTTCCTGCACAAGTGCGGCTCCTTCCGCGTTTTGGGGGTGGAAGCGCTCGTTCCGAGCGGTTTTCTTCCGCCGGGTCACGTGGCTGCGCTTGTCTGGTCCTATTACCAAGCTAGCAAGGGCGTGGGAGGGTTGCAAGCGTCATCGGTCATCGGCGCTCGCGAATGAAGAGCGCTCGCTGCACTTCCTGCACATGTGCGGCTCCTTCCGCGTTTTGGGGGTGGAAGCGCTCTTTCCGAGCGTTATTCTTCCGCCGGGTCACGTGGCTGCGCTTGTCTGTCCTATTACCAAGCCAGCAAGGGCGTGGGAGGGTTGCAAGCATCATCGGTCATCGGCGCTCGCGAATGAAGAGCGCCCGCTGCACTTCCTGCACATGTGCGGCTCCTTCCGTGTTTTGGGGGTGGAAGCGCTCGTTCCGAGGGTTTTTCTTCCGCCGGGTCACGTGGCTCCACTTGTCTGGTCCTATTACCAAGCCAGCAAGGCCGTGGGAGGGCTGCAAGCATCATCGGTCATCGGCGCTAGCGAATGAAGAGCGCCCGCTGCACTTCCTGCACATGTGCGGGTCCTTTCGCGTTTTGGGGGTGGAAGCGCTCGTTTCGAGCGTTTTTCTTCCGCCGGGTCACGTGGCTGCGCTTGTCTGGTCCTATTACCAAGCCAGCAAGGGCGTGGGAGGGTTGCAAGCATCATCGGTCATCGGCGCTCGCGAATGAAGAGCTCCCGCTGCACTTCCTGCACATGTGCGGCTCCTTCCGTGTTTTGGGGGTGGAAGCGCTCGGTACGAGCGTTTTTTTCCGCCGGGTCACGTGGCTGCGCTTGTCTGGTCCTATTACCAAGACAGCAAGGGCGTGGGAGGGTTGCAAGCATCATCGGTCATCTGCGCTCACGAATGAAGAGCGCCCGCTGCACTTCCTACACGTGTGCGGCTCCTTCCGCGTTTTGGGGGTGGAAGCGCTCGTTCCGAGCGGTTTTCTTCCGCCGGGTCACGTGGCTGCGCTTGTCTGGTCCTATTACCAAGCTAGCAAAGGCGTGGGAGGGTTGCAAGCATCATCGGTCATCGGCGCTCGCGAATGAAGAGCGCCCGCTGCACTTCCTGCACATGTGCGGCTCCTTCCTCGTTTTGGGGGTGGAAGCGCTCGTTCCGAGCGTTATTCTTCCGCTGGGTCACGTGGCAGCACTTGTCTGGTCCTATTACCAAGCCAGCAAGGGCGTGGGAGGGTTGCAAGCATCATCAGTCATCGGCGCTCGCGAATGAAGTGCGCCCGCTGCACTTCCTGCACATGTGCGGCTCCTTCCGTATTTTGGGGGTGGAAGCGCTCGTTCCCAATGGTTTTCTTCCGCCAGGTCACGTGGCTGCGCTTTTCTGGTCCTATTAACAAGCCAGCAAGGGCGTGGGAGGGTTGCAAGCATCATCGGTCATCGGCGCTCGCGAATGAAGAGGGCCCGCTGCACTTCCTGCACATGTGCGGGTCCTTCCGCGTTTTGGGGGTGGAAGTGCTCGTTCCGAGCGATTTTCTTCCGCCGGGTCACGTGGCTGCGCTTGTCTGGTCCTTCTACCAAGCCAACAAGGGCGTGGGAGGGTTGCAAGCATCATCGGTTATCGGCACTCGCGAATGAAGAGCGCCCGCTGCCCTTCCTGCATATGTGCGGCTCCTTCCGCGTTTTGGGGGTGGAAGCGCTCGTTCCGAGCGGTTTTTCTTCCGCCGGGTCACGTGGCTGCGCTTCTCTGGTCCTATTACCAAGCCAGAAGGGGGCGTTGGAGGGTTTCAAGCATCATCGGCCATCGGCGCTCGCGAGTGAAGAGCGCCCGCTGCACTTCCTGCACATGTGCCGCTCCTTCCTTGTTTTGGGGGTGGAAGCTCTCGTTCCGAACGTTTTTCTTCCGCCGGGTCACGTGGCTGCGCTTGTCTGGTCCTATTACCAAGCCAGCAAGGGCGTGGGAGGGTCGCAAGCATCATCGGTCATCGGCGCTCGCGAAAGAAGAGCGCCCGCTGCACTTCCTGCACAAGTAAGGCTCCTTCCGTGTTTTGGGGGTGGAAGCGCTCGTTCCGAGCGTTTTTCTTCCGCCGGGTCAGGTGGCTGCGCTTGTCTTGTCGTATTACCAAGCCAGCAAGGGCGTGG